AATAGAATATTAAATATTTCTGCATTTGTTTACTACAACTAGAAATATGAAACGTACAGGTATAGGGATAAACCTACATGGCCTGATTTTTTTTTTTTTTTTGGGAAGGATTGGTCAAATGATTGGATTTAAATATGATCCTGCTTTGCCAACTAATAATTGACTTATTTGGTAACTTACTTGTCAGAAAATTCATAATTAGTATGAACTTTTTTGATTTAGTATTTAAAAATTTTTCTTCAGTCTTTGTTTTATTCTTTAAATGAGTTTTTATGGCTGTTATAGCAAAATATTTATGAATAATTAATAATTGACAAAACACTTTTGGAACACCTCCAGTGTGCTGAAAGGGGATTGTATAGTTAGGCAGAGATCTAGTGGGCTTCCTTCCACAGCACTTTGCTCACAGAGCTTCGTTGTGTGCCACAGCTTTGGCAAGCATCCAGGAGCCTTGAGAAATATACCAAGGCCTCTGTGACAGGTTAATTCTTTAATTAAGGTACAAGGATGGCAATTTTTTCTTCTAAGCGTTACGTTAGGTCCTAAAATGATTTTATATCTGAAAAAAGAAAAATTGTGTATTAAAGTCTCATGGAAATTAGACTGAGTAAAAGTTAACTGATAATATGCTAGATAAGAGTGTATTTAAGCCTTAAATGTGATCATTGGTTTGCCTTTCATATTAATGAATAAAATCCTAGAGTTGTGTTAACTTCAGTCACTAATGCCTATACAGTAGACATTACCCTGTTAGAGACAGTGACACAGTTGAGGGCTTCCATTGTCACTTTTCTCATAGAGTTTATTGAACATATGACAATCCATTGCCACACCTCTTCCCAATTGTTCTTTTATTAAAAGCATTTGTAAATGTCTTTTTAAATGTGTACTGTGATGTTTATTTAAGATACCCTAATAGACATTTGATAACTTGACATTACTAGATAAGACCACTTCTCCCTAAGTCTCTCTTTCTCTTTTAACATATGGGCACAGCTGCACTTATAATGTGTGGACATTTTCCTTTAACTGATTTCACCAGATTTATTCAGCAGACTTCCAAGGATAACGCTGTTATTCCTTTATTTCTGTGAAAGAAGTAAGAAAATGGGTATTTAACTATAACTATCCAAAAGAGAGAAATGTTTCAATGTTTAATTAATTTTTTAATAGTGTTTAGTTTTTCTAAATACAAAACTTTTAAGGTTCCATTTTTCCTGTGTTCCCTGCGAGTTACTGGTGGTTCTTAAAAGAGTCAGAGAAGAAAGGACGGGGCGTGGCCGGGGCAGGGGGGAACAGGAATAAGGAAACGTCCACCCAATGATTCTAGTTCTGGTGTGGACACATGTAGCAAGATGAAATCATTTGTACTTTGCAGAATAATATTTTATAAAAATCAGCTGCTTTGCATCTCTATGAGGCATAAGTACATGTGTCATTCATGACCTAGGTATAGGGCGGACCTCAGAGAGTCCACAAGAGTGAAACTGTTGCACTAGCCACAGACATCCCAGATTTGCTTGAACCAATCCAAATGTACCACGGGTTTCACAAGTAGGCAGATTTTGATACAAATCAACAAATTTGCCTTCTTGGATTTTTAGACAAAGGCCATAGATTTATGCCTAAAATGTTAAAGTCAGCATGGAGAAATCTTTTTAAGTATTAACTAATAATTCTGTGGTTGTGTGTTCTGTTTGTGTGTTTTTGTTGGTTTGTTTCTGGCTAGCTCATCAGAGTTGTAACAAGCTCAATTAAAGTGCAAGGAATCCTGTCTTATGCCTGTGTCATACTCTTCTATTTTGGGTAAGATTATTCTTGAATATGTTTTTGGCTATATAGTAAAGCATAAATGCAAGATGTAATGGAAGTTAATAGCATCTCAATCATACTACTCCCAATCTATGCCGGGGGCTTCCTTTCAATAGCTATACCTCCCAGTGTATTTATTTGTGACTCGGTTAGATTAACTACACTGCTATTTGGTAGTAGTATTAATAGTACTTTAGATTTTATTTTAATTTTTAGCAAAATCTTAAAGCCCTTTTTGCTTAAGATTTAGGTTTCACTCACATTTTTTTGATGAATAAAAGCCTGCCATTGCAGACATGTTTTCATATTTAAAAACATCTTTGACCCTCCAGTATGTTTGCCACATTGAATTGTTCAGCACACTGTAGGCGGGCATCACATAAAACCAAATGTAATGCACAAGCGTAGGTTTTCTGTGACCAGTGGAATCCATCTGCAGGTTTGTTGGTCTCATGATCTTACATTTTAGTTGGGGGAGACATACAGTAAATTATCAACTAACTAAGATAGAAATAAATGGTATGAAGAAAATAACAATATAAAATGATGATTTTGCCATTGTTACTTTTCTCAAGAAGTGAACAATGATAAAGTAACCAGACCTGGCATTCAATTAACTTACTGAAAAATGAAATGGAAAACCTGTTCCACCCTCACTTAGGTGGTGTGCGTCAGGAGCTTCACTCAGGGAGGGGTGGGTGGTCTGAGAGGGGTCGAACTTTAACCCTCCAGAGGAGAAAGGTTGGAGGGTAAGCATAGCAGTCACAGTTTGAGCAGTGGATTTGCTTAGTGTTCCAGTTTCATGGTTTTTTTAGTGTGTTTTTCACATTGTTTCCTGCCCAGGGCTTAGCACACTACCTGGCACGTGCTCAGGAAGCTTCTGTTGAAGTAGCATGGGAATAGTCACTTACTGTCTGCACTTTCCACCTCTCCACCAAGTATCCTGAGTCATGGGCCTGCTTCCCAGCTCCTGCGGCGCCTGGCTCAGGCCGGTGTCCTGCAGAGCTGCATGTAGGTCATTTCAGTGTTTCACACACGAGGGTGAGGTTCTGATCACACTGTACAGCATTGCCTATTTTTTGTTTGAATGAGTATATAAATAGTTTACTATATTAAGGTAACTCTTTTCATTTTTTGACATTAAATAACATTAAGACCTTCCTTTTCTAATGTAGAGTCTCACACCGCACCTCAGCGTTTTTAACATTGTGCTGTGCTTACCAAGTGGTATTGCTGTAATCTCAGTGGGAATAATTGTTTGACAATCTAATATTCTAGTATTTTTTACATAATAATCACGAAATGAAGCATGTATATGCTACATCTGAAAACCTTTGTTTAGTTACAGTTGCCTGTGCATAGTTCACCAAGGGGGATGTACTTT